TCATCACTGAGATTGTCTTGAAGGAGATCATGTTGAGGTTGGCTATGGTCAGACATAGATGAACAGAGATGAGTCCCCAGGGAGATGCAATGAATGTTGGACAACTGACTGAAACTGGCCAAGGGGACAAATAGGACACTTGATGCTCAGTCAAAACACAATTTGTGTATGGATTCTAAATGATGAAGAGGTCTTTGGCTGGAGTCAGTTTCTCTGAAACATTGAGCTATATCCCCAGGAAGCTACAATATATCAGAAAGGCAAACCACAAAGTTTTGTAATGAAAGAAGTGAACACTGCACACATTTCTACTGAAAAAAGCGGACACTACACAATTTTGTAATGCATCAAGTGGACACTACAGAGTTTTGTAATGAAAAAAGCGGACACTACACAATTTTGTAATGAATAAAGCAGATACTGCACACATTTCTATGAAAAAAGCGGACACTACAAAGTGTTGTAATACAAAAATGGATTATTCCATACTTTTGGGGGATGGATTCCATGGTTTTGGGGGATGGATTCCATGGTTTTTCCACATGGATTCCATGGACTTTCCACATGGATTCCATGACTTTTCTGATGGATTCCATCCTTTTGGTGGGTGGATTCCATGGACTTTCCATATGGAATGAGTTCATGGAATCATAATTCTACACTTATCCTATACTATTTTCAGCATGGAATCCATGTGGACTCCATGTGGACTCCATGTGGAATGACTTTGTGGAATAAAAATCTTACACTTAAAATTGTCTGTTGTTGTATTGATTGACATAGTACAAAAATTTGAGCTTTTATCTACTAAAATCATACATTATCATCACTACCATCATTATCATCACTATCATCACCATCACCATTATCCCCTTGTGTCATCTTTTCTTCCCTCTTTTTTATCTTCTCAAGAACATGTTGGGTATGATAAAACAACATTGCATGCAAAAACCAGTTGAAATTGTCAACAGTCATCCTTTTCAAAATAGAATCAAATCCCCCAATCCACCCATTCAATTGTTCACATGCTTGAGTATTGAATGCTCATTTCAAATATTTTTCCCCATCTTTTGTCTCTGCTTCAATAACCAAATTAGGTGCTGATCCATCAAGAGAAGCAGGGTTGCAATATTTTCAGCAGATCATATCTGTAGTGCGATGATTGATGTAATGATATGCATCAACCATAAGTCGGCTAGTCTTGCACCATTCATCCCAGCTTCCATTTTGAATGCTTGTTCTAAGAACCAGACATGCCTTATCAATGCATATATAATCCGGTCTTGTACTTTCATCTGGAAATGTATCTTCCATAAACTTTAGAATGTTTGTTGGTGACTCAGCTTTTGCAAACTTGACCCATGCAATGAAAACACCACAAGGTGCACAAATTGTTTCCACACAATAAGAGTGCTTTGGACTGAAGTAGTTTTTATTTTCTACTTCAGGAGCTTCCTCATCATGAGGTTGGACATTTCTGGGAACTTCTGGATTCCAGGCAAGATTTTCATTTGGTTGATTTAGCATTCGTCGTACCCCAGCCAAGCTTGACTTTGATCGAGACTGTCTATATTGATGCCAGTCATTGCGATGTTCATGACAAGCTTGAGTTCCGTCAATCTTGTTATTTTGACAATCCTTAACACAACAACGATTACAAAATTCTCTTTCATGGGTCTGACAAAATGATTCTCCCTTTCCACGAGCATTTGTAAGGGGTTTTGTACAATCATCAAATGCACAATGAGTTGGTCCCATAACAATGCCATCTATTACGACCATGTTCACCATGGCTGGTTGGTTTCCAGTATCAACATCCATTGGGTCATCTGATTCTGCCAAATTTTGCAGTTCTTCAGTAGCTGCAGCATCTAATTGAGGTACAGGTTGATTTTTATCAACACCAAGGACAGCTGCTGCATCATTGGCAGCAGGTAGAAAATCTGCAACTGCCTTGCATTCTTGAGTACACTCAGAGCAGGTGTGTTTGTCAGACAGCCTCATAGCACCACCTTCACCAAGAATAGCAAATGCATCATGAGTGAAATTATCAATTGATGGATTATCATTGGTTTCAAATGTGACCCCAGAAGCTTGAGCAATGGTACGAACTGATTCATGAACAAATGCCTGCCAAATTTGATGTCTTTCAATTTTGAGTGAGCCTTGTTTTCCATAGCTNGTGGTCCACTTCAGTCACCCCATTTTAGGGTACCTATGAGGTATATGATCTTTGATTAAGGGTACCTCAATGGTACCCATTCCAGAGTGGTATGTGAGCACCATACCAATACCATGGTACCATGGAATGGAAAACTCATACCATATCCCACTCATACCAATACCAAGTTACCATACCATACCAGATGGTATGATACCACTTCATACCATCATACCAAAGCTGTCACTGGGTGTCTGGGGTCCTTTTCCAAAAGAAATAAATTATTTCTGCAGGCTGCAATACTGGTCCATTGGGTACCATTTTTTGTGGGGTGGTTCTCCATGTTTTTCTTGAGATATTGAGCTACAAATTGAGGCTAGATAGTCCAAACCATCTATTGAAAATGAGCTTAAATAGGCTTTATTCCAGCTTTCTCATGCATCCAAAGCCATTTAATGATACATATCTTTCCCAGTCCTTTCTATTTGAACAAATATTCATCCAAATCAAACAATACCACATCTATTGGGATGAAGTGGTCATTGAGAAGCAAAGAAAAGTGGAAAGGTTCTTCAGGTTTTTTCTAAGATTTCCAACTCCAAGTGGAGGCTAGATAGTCAACTCCAACCTTTGGAAATCAGTTCAATTGAGGGTTTTTTCATTTCTAAAAAGCCATTAATATGAATCCTTTCAATAATAGGTTAAATATATTTTTTGTTAATTGGAAATGGAATCAAGTCTTGTTGTCCTAAGAGTCTTGATTATCAAAATATCATACCATACCATGCACCCTCATACCATACCATGGTATCAGGAACCATAATCTATTTTTATTTAGGAAGAGGAAGGCAGAAAACCCTCATTTCGAAGTTTGTTTACATATATTTGTCAGGCACAGCTCACATTTAGGTTGGGAACTGTTTCCCACGCTCTTTGGGCCACTGGAGTTAGTGGCTAGCTTAGTGTTGTCATTGTTTATGACAATGTTCGCATATTTCCTAATTGGGAAAGTCATTACATAATATCAGTTTGGTTTGTACTGTCCGCTTTTTCACTACAAAAGTTACTAGTGTGCGCTTTTTTCACTACTAAAGTTTGTAGTCTTCACTTTTTTCATTACAAAAGTTTGTAGTGTCCGCTTTTTGGACAACAAATATTTGTAGTGTCCGCTTTTTGGACAACAAATATTTGTAGTCTTTGCCTTTGTCATTACAAAGGCTTGTAGTGTCCGCTTTTTTCATTACAATGTTTGTAGTGTGCGCTTTTTAGACTACAAATGTTTGTAGTGTCCGCTTTTTGGACTACAAATGTTTGTAGTGTCCGCTTTTTTCATTACAATGTTTGTAGTGTGTGCTTTGTGGACTACAAATGTTTGTACTCTTGCCATTTTCA